CTTGACCGGACAAAGAGAAACTGGCACCAATACACAGAACCAAACACTTTGCACATGCCAGATACCAGGATACTCACACATACATACCAGTTAGCGAAAATTCCCCTTTGATTTTTCGACTTTGCGTTGAACTTCAACCAGCGCCGTTTTCGTTTCCGTTTCAGTGGCAGGTGCAGTTGCAGTTGCAGTTGCAGTTGCAGTTTCAGTTGCAGTTGCAGTTGCAGTTACAGTTACAGCTTTTCGACTTATGCAATCCATCTGCAGAACATTGCGGAAGTGGGTGAGACTCGACTTCAATCGACTCGACTCTAATCGAATCAACTCGACTCTACTCGAATCAACTCGACTCACGTAGCGACTTGTGGATACATATGTATCTTGTAAATAGGTCGCTGCAGCAGAGCACCGACACATCGACAACGGCGGCATCTAGAAAAGAGGCGACAATGACGTCACAGCCGCATCAGGCTGTGCCGCTGACCTATATACACGCCATCAAGTGCAACAGAGACGGGGACAAATGGAGAATGGACGAGGGAGACAGAGATAGAGACAGAGACGGAGCGTTAACGTATGCATAAATTTCCCACCGTCATTTGCATATAGTAGATAAACAAGAAAGTTGCTTCCATGTACTACACTGTACATGGGTGGAGAGATGGTTTAAATGGCGGAAAGTCGGCTAAGAACCGAAGCCCAGCTCACCAGGGCCTAAATTGTTTGTTGACATTTCGTTTGAACCGGTATTTTTCACCTTGCACCCTATTTTATGCGGCTTGCAACAGCTGCTGACGTCACACCGAACAATGTGCCAATTAAAGGTACATAAGCTGTATATCATTACGAAATTATAGACCGCGTTAATAGAATGCCAACGCCTACGGTATTAACTATTTATACGTCAGTTAAGGGGGTGTATTGTGCCACTTTAAAGTGGCACACTAAATTACTTACGATAAACAACTTTATTTTATTTATTTATTCCTCTGCACTTCTCATTAGATACATACTAATAAGTGTTGATCCTATTTAAAAGAAATGTATTTTGTTTCAACTCATTTTGCAATACGATGTTAATCATCCGCTGCGCTCCTCAAAAGCGCGAACTTAAGTGGTGTAGTTTGCCCCAAGTTACAAATAGGTGTTGATCTGTTTATCGGACACACAAATTACTTTATTTTATCGTGAGCAAATATGCTATGAAAGAGAATTTATAATGCCATTATTGTGTTGACCACATGTGCGACCATAAATATGAATAAGCAGTCGCTGTGCCAAGATGGAGTTGCAACCGGAAAAGATTTATGCCGACAAACAATTTGTTCGGCCAGGCGCTCGCCATTATTTCAGTCGAGTGGAGGGGATAACTGATGTGGGCGGTGGATAACGATGGGGATGAGGACAAGGCTATGGGTTTTTGGAGGTGGGCCAGTGCACTTACACGCTTAATTAAATGCCACGGCACGGCGCCAGAAAGCAGGCAACGGCAACCTGCCATGCAACGCCAAAAAGTTGCCAGCAGCAACAGCAGCAACAATTGCAGCTGCAACAGCAGCAACAATTGCACATTGTCAGCAACATCAGCGATAAGGGCGGAAAATGTTGGGCATTCTGCCAGCAAACGGGTGGTTCGGTGGGTGTGGGTGTGGGTGTAAGTGTGAGTGGTTCGATGATGATGATGACGATAATAATGGGGTTTCTGTGGTTGGGCCCCACTCGTTGGGCCGTTTTTATATGCGATTGTAATACAATGTCAATTACAAGTGTAAACATAAGTATATTGCCGGCGTACACGCATACAACCATACATATATCTATATATACTTGGAGTGCAATGAATTTAATTTGAACAAGGCCTAAGCCAAATGGAAACGGTTTACGAGTATCTTCTGGGTATCCACCCACTCGTTCTCGTATCTACAAAAATGGGTTGGCAACGAAATTGCGAATTGCAATTTGAAATCGAGAAAGTGAGACTGAAAATCCCCGTCTGCCGCCGGCCATTCAATATGCATGGCCATTGAATATTCAATGGCATAGCATCTGGAAATTGATTCGAGCCGATAAGTAATTAAAGACCAGGCCACTGGAGAGCTTAAAGATCGAAGGCATTGAATAATGGAGTCGCGGCTTTCCGTTAAAAATAAAGTCAAATGTAAATTAAATGACTGTAGGCTAAGTAATGGCAAAAGTAATTACTCTTGGCGGTATTTTAGGTAATCAAATCAAATGCAACCGACAGGCTCTTAGAAAAATGTGGAGCGCCTTCCTCCGCGCTTCTCAACATCCATACTTAAGGGGCTTATATTGCATATGGTTGATTGGGTTTTAATTAAGTGCTACCTTTTTCTGTGCATCTCAAATGCCCCACTAAAGGTATCATATGCCTTTTCTGTTTAGAGCCGATTATAGAGGTACCTTAAATCCCTTCAAAGGAAATATTACTGTAACTAGTAACTAGTAACTAGTAAACTACTTGTTATACATGTTAATACTAATAGATATGTCTTGTACATCTCGGTTTTAATCCAATGCTTTAATTATGGAAAGTCGCGGCTTTCTGTTAAAAATAAAGTCAAATGTAAATTAAATGACTGTAGGCTAAGTAATGGCAAAGTAATTACTCTTACTCTTGGCGGTATTTTAAGTAATCAAATCAAATGCAAGCGACAGGCTCTTAAGAAAAATGTGGAGCGCCTTCCTCCGCGCTTCTCAACATCCATACTTAAGGGGCTTATATTGCATATGGTTGATTGGGTTTTAATTAAGTGCTACCTTTTTCTGTGCATCTCAAATGCCCCACTAAAGGTATCATATGCCTTTTCTGTTTAGAGCCGATTATAGAGGTACCTTAAATCCCTTCAAAGGAAATATTACTGTAACTAGTAACTAGTAACTAGTAAACTACTTGTTATACATGTTAATACTAATAGATATGTCTTGTACATCTCGGTTTTAATCGAATGCCTTAATTATGGAAAGTCGCGGCTTTCTGTTAAAAATAAAGTCAAATGTAAATTAAATGACTGTAGGCTAAGTAATGGCAAAGTAATTACTCTTACTCTTGGCGGTATTTTAGATAATCAAATCAAATGCAAGCGACAGGCTCTTAAGAAAAATGTGGAGCGCCTTCCTCCGCGCTTCTCAACCTCCATACTTAAGGGGCTTATATTGCATATGGTTGATTGGGTATTAATTAAGTGCTACCTTTTTCTGTACATCTCAAATGCCCCACTAAAGGTAGCATATGCCTTTTCTGTTTAGAGCCGATTATAGAGGTACCTTAAATCCCTTCAAAGGAAATATTACTGTAACTAATAAACTACTTGTTATACATGTTAATACTAATAGATATGGCTTGTACATCTCGGTTTTAATCCAATGCTTTAATTATGGAAAGTCGCGGCTTTCTGTTAAAAATAAAGTCAAATGTAAATAATATGACTGTAGGCTAAGTAATGGCAAAGTAATTACTCTTACTCTTGGTGGTATTTTAAGTAATCAAATCAAATGCAAGCGACAGGCTCTTAAGAAAAATGTGGAGCGCCTTCCTCCGCGCTTCTCAACATCCATACTTAAGGGGCTTATATTGCATATGGTTGATTGGGTTTTAATTAAGTGCTACCTTTTTCTGTGCATCTCAAATGCCCCACTAAAGGTATCATATGCCTTTTCTGTTTAGAGCCGATTATAGAGGTACCTTAAATCCCTTCAAAGGAAATATTACTGTAACTAGTAAACTACTTGTTATACATGTTAATTCTAATAGATATGTCTTGTACATCTCGGTTTTAATTCAATGCTTTAATTATGGAAAGTCGCGGCTTTCTGTTAAAAATAAAGTCAAATGTAAATTAAATGACTGTAGGCTAAGTAATGTCAAAGTAATTACTCTTACTCTTGGCGGTATTTTAGGTAATCAAATCAAATGCAAGCGACAGGCTCTTAAGAAAAATGTGGAGCGCCTTCCTCCGCGCTTCTCAACCTCCATACTTAAGGGGCGTATATTGCATATAGTATATTGCATCTCAAATGCCCCACTAAAGGTAGCATATGCCTTTTCTGTTTAGAGCCGATTATAGAGGTACCTTAAATCCCTTCAAAGGAAATATTATTGTAAATACTAAACTACTTGTTATACATGTAAATACTAATAGATATGTCTTGTACATCTCGGTTTTAATCCAATGCTTTAATTATGGAAAGTCGCGGATTTCTGTTAAAAATAAAGTCAAATGTAAATTAAATGACTGTAGGCTAAGTAATGTCAAAGTAATTACTCTTACTCTTGGCGGTATTTTAGGTAATCAAATCAAATGCAAGCGACAGGCTCTTAAGAAAAATGTGGAGCGCCTTCCTCCGCGCTTCTCAACATCCATACTTAAGGGGCGTATATTGCATATAGTATATTGCATCTCAAATGCCCCACTAAAGGTATCATATGCCTTTTCTGTTTAGAGCCGATTATAGAGGTACCTTAAATCCCTTCAAAGGAAATATTACTGTAACTAGTAAACTACTTGTTATACATGTTAATACTAATAGATATGTCTTGTACATCTCGGTTTTAATCCAATGCTTTAATTATGGAAAGTCGCGGCTTTCTGTTAAAAATAAAGTCAAATGTAAATTAAATGACTGTAGGCTAAGTAATGGCAAAGTAATTACTCTTACTCTTGGCGGTATTTTAGGTAATCAAATCAAATGCAAGCGACAGGCTCCTAAGAAAAATGTGGAGCGCCTTCCTCCGCGCTTCTCAACCTCCATACTTAAGGGGGGTATATTGCATATAGTATATTGCATCTCAAATGCCCCACTAAAGGTAGCATATGCCTTTTCTGTTTAGAGCCGATTATAGAGGTACCTTAAATCCCTTCAAAGGAAATATTACTGTAAATACTAAACTACTTGTTATACATGTAAATACTAATAGATATGTCTTGTACATCTCGGTTTTAATCCAATGCTTTAATTACTTCTATTATTTTCTCAATTCGCAGGTCTTTGCCCAAATTGAGCAGTCAAGACGAAGAAGGGGGGGCTGGTCATGGCTTTGGTGGCGGACCGCAACACTTTGAACCCATTCCTCACGATCATGATTTCTGCGAAAGAGTCGTTATAAATGTGAGTAACCGAAACGAATACTGGATACTCATAACTTAACCCACTTCTACCACTGCTCTACTCCAATCCAGGTAAGCGGATTAAGGTTTGAGACACAACTACGTACGTTAAATCAATTCCCGGACACGCTGCTTGGGGATCCAGCTCGGAGATTACGGTACTTTGACCCGCTTAGAAATGAATATTTTTTTGACCGTAGTCGACCGAGCTTCGATGCGATTTTATACTATTATCAGAGTGGTAAGCATTCAGTGCATTCAAATAGTACCCCTTGCCCGAAAATCTAATGCAACTTTTGTGCAACCCATGGCTAATGTTTCTCTATTTCTCTCTCTATAAATCCTCGTCGTCGCCGAACAACAAACAATGAATACTTGACTTTATTCATAAACCACCACCAACTCACCATCCCACAAACAAATACACACACATCACGTTCATCCACAGGTGGCCGACTACGGAGACCGGTCAATGTCCCTTTAGACGTATTTAGTGAAGAAATAAAATTTTATGAATTAGGTGATCAAGCAATTAATAAATTCAGGTAAGCCCACGTGTTGCCCACTAGAAATTCCCAAACTCCCCTACCAAAAAAAAAATCAATACAAATACTAAAACAAAACCCCAACCAAAACGAAACTAACAAAATGTAAACAAAGAACTAAAGCAAATCAAATATAAATAGGGCAATAATTTGGTTCGGTTTATTTCTATATTGGTAGCACGGCAAATTTTTTTATCGAATCAGCGTAATGAGACATGCAACACGGCAAACAGACCGACACACGCACATTAAACATAGACATAGAATAGAATTAGACTTGGCTTAAATACAAACATACTCGTACCAATATATACATATTGCGTTGGCTGAAAGTGCGGTTCAAAGGGAAAGCCTTTGTACAATGCATTAATAAATTCTCAATAAATCGAAGTATTCTAATCGAACAGCTTTGGCTTTGGAGTCATCAAATATGTAGAATACTTATACATGCAACAGTAAAATTAAGTTTAATTTAATGCCTTGTATCTAGTTAACCGCTTTCCCTGAGAACTTAAGCATCTCCACCGATGGCAAGCTGGGAGCAAATTGTATAAAGCAAATAACGCAAATCTAGATGGACTGGACTCTGGACCGAGATCGACTGCGATTGCGAAAGTGAATGTTAATCACTTGACCACCAGCCTAAAATTTTGTTCATACGGCACGGGGGGCAGTGTGGCCGGACCCGTGAAGCGGAAATGGAGAGCGGAATGTCAACCGAGGATAGGACGATCAAGGATGCAGCAGGAAGAAGCCTACTTAATATATTTCAACTCTTAGCTAATTGCCAATGCCATAAATGAGTCAACGCTTCTATTACGGCTTTATTTCTTAATTTTTACTCAAGCTTAGCTTTCGATTTAAGCCTTTTGCCTGCTTCCGATTAGAGTTGCGAACCAATAAACAAAATCTGTGCCTTAAAGATACCAAAAATACTCAACGAACGCCACACACACCTTAACCTCACTCCCACATCATAACTAGAAAGTTAAATGGCTTGTTTAGTACTAACAGAAACCGTAAATATATTTTCTACTTGCAGAGAGGATGAAGGCTTTATTAAAGAGGAAGAAAGACCATTACCGGATAATGAGAAGCAGAGAAAAGTCTGGCTGCTCTTCGAGTATCCAGAAAGTTCGCAAGCCGCCAGAGTTGTAGCCATAATTAGTGTATTTGTTATATTGCTATCAATTGTTATATTTTGTCTAGAAACATTACCCGAATTTAAGCATTACAAGGTGCGTACGAATCAAGCCAAAACGCAGGACCTCCAAGGGATACAAATCCATATCTTTCTTTCCTTCTTTTTGTTGTGTTTCTGTGTACCATACTTTCAGGTGTTCAATACAACAACAAATGGCACAAAAATCGAGGAAGACGAGGTGCCTGACATCACAGATCCTTTCTTCCTTATAGAAACGTTATGTATTATTTGGTTTACATTTGAACTAACTGTCAGGTAGGCAGCTCTCTTCCATGAAATATCTATTTATGCATACACCTAATTATAAGCTAAGCGAACGAAAGAGAAATATTAGTTTGAACTTGAACTCGAATACAATATCTCTCTATCCATCCTTCTTAAAAAAAACTATGTTTCTAATTGAGTACGAACATTGATTCATTTTCTGTTTTCTCTTGTTTTTTTTTATATTTTTTATATATTTTACATACAACTATTATACTTATATTTCTCTGTCTGTTGCTTTGCTTATGTTCGACACTAATGGTTTAATTGAACTATTTCAATCTGAAATCTTCTATCTCTCTCTTACAAATCTCCCTCTCTCTTTCTCTCTCTCTTGCTCTCGGTTTCTCTATCGCGCTGTCTGTGTGAATCTTTAAACCAAACCAATCGCTGGTCGTTGTATCGATTTTGTGTGTGTTCAGGTTCCTCGCATGTCCGAACAAATTAAATTTCTGCAGGGATGTCATGAATGTTATCGACATAATCGCCATCATTCCGTACTTTATAACACTAGCGACTGTCGTTGCCGAAGAGGAGGATACGTTAAATCTTCCAAAAGCGCCAGTCAGTCCACAGGTATGAGATTTCTGTTTGCCCAATGCCAACTACACCAAAAATATCGATATTAATCACCCACACACGACCACACAAACTCACATGCATATACAGTTGAACCGATTAAAGTAATAAATGTTGCCATCATCATTTATGAGTTGCCTGACATGATAACGAAGGGGTTGCCTGCCCGCCCCGAAATACAAAAAAAAAACCAACACACAACTTTCAGTCAAAACTTTTCATTTTTTGCAATCAACCAACTTATCCCAAACTACCAGTTTATCGATAAGAAATGTTCATTGTTGTATATTACCGATACTTACACAAATCCAACATCCGCTTACTCACCTCTAAATACCAACATACGATCGATCTATGTAAATGAAAATCCATCATATATATATAAACGATAGACACCAGTACATACAAACACACATATATATATGCATACCACCTATTATATATATATATATTTCGATAAAATTTTTAGGACAAGTCATCGAATCAGGCTATGTCCTTGGCAATATTACGAGTGATACGATTAGTTCGAGTATTTCGAATATTTAAGTTATCTAGGCATTCGAAGGGTTTACAAATATTAGGACGAACTCTGAAAGCCTCAATGCGGGAATTAGGTTTACTTATATTTTTCTTATTTATAGGTAAGTTCCATACAGCCAACAAAAAAAAAACAACATACCACATTTACTTATCGATTTACGAGTTTTATTCAAACAACATCAAAAACAAAAGAGAAATACTGCAAAACGACTGCGACCATCCAGACAGACTCACCCTCGCTACCCTGCCCTCTCAAAAGATATTTTTCCAACTACTTCTCTCTGTCCCAATGTCCTGATACACGTACTTACAGTAACTAGATCTTAAACTACATATAACTACAGCGGAATCGTCCAACGATCGCGAATTAAAACAACCACAGAAGATACATATATTTATATATATATATATTTATATATATCTATGCTTACGTCTGCCTCAAGCCAGCACATTTATGTTACCGCTCATCATGAACCTGCAACCCTAAAGCCAAAAAAAAAATGAGAAAAAATATTTCATTGCGCCACAGACAACAACAGCCAAACAAGCCACAAATAAACAAAACAACAAATACAGAAAAGTGTTATGCTTTTTAAGAACTTATCATTTTCAATTTGAGTTGCCTCACAAAACTCGGCGGAAGCCAAAAATGCCAGACCTAAGACTAAGTTATACCGAAAATACGAGAGCCCCTAGTACTTGCTTATATCAAGTATACATACCTAGATATAGTGTATCTGCAGACACGCCTTGCCCCGCCGTCCCAACAATTAAACGAAACACCCATATGAAAACCCGAAACGATAGAGATTAGACCTAAAACATCAAGCTAATCTAAAGTAAACTAAAGTAACGTAAACTAGTCATACTACCTATATAGTTACAACCGTACACGCACACACACACAAGCCCAGTGCTCTCAAATACACGCTAAATAAATAAATAAAATAGTGGGAGGCCCTTAGAACGTGTATCCGTATTACCTAGGTGTATAACTTGTATAACTCACCCATTACGTATATCTTACTTATCTAGTGTCGTCTAATCCTAGCGCTAAGTAGGTGCGAACTATCAACCAATGGAGCAGCGATACGTTAGCTACCCGATCCACCGGATCTTATATCCCGATCTTACGATCTATCCCCAGATCTGCTACAAAGCTCCCTAAGTATCGTTCACTTTGGATACGTTCGTTGAGTTCTCTTCATTTGCGTTTTGTATTACGAATATCAATTTGAATTTGAGTTTGGTTTTGGCTAGCTTTTTGGATAAACAGCAGCAACGTCTCTCAATGTACTCGAATTTTAGTCTATTACTCCTGATATACTTTGACAAAGTGCGAGCGGCAGACCAGGGAGACAAAAATGATCGATTGTATTAAGCATCGAATCGTTTTCGGATTCTCCAAAATGCCGCGTTCAAGTCGTTGGCAATTTTAAGGACCTCAAGCATTTTGTGCGCAGATCTAACATACTTTCTCAATTCTTTGATCTATTTTATGTGACTTCATGGCCAAACTATCTATCTTTACTGATTTACTCAAATCCTTTACATGTTTTCTGATTCCCCATTTTGTATGTGCCCAAACTGCGTTGAAAATGCCTTAAAATTGGCAAACTTCTTGGCATTGAAATTGTCCAACCAAACAAAATAAATAGAACCTAGAAATGGTGATCGATATATGTTACAACCTTATACAAACAGAAAGATCAAGCGAAATTAAAAACCATCTGTATCAAATGAATTATATATATTTTGTATTGTTGTTCATGTTCTATCGCATTCAAATTGTTCGTAAACCGTATTCAGTAACCGTAATCGTAACCGTAACCGTTATACGTATTCAGTAATCCGTAAACCGTACTCATCATTAACGTTGTCGTTTCGATGTCCATGTCCACAGATTGTGCCGTGGTTTGAATTTTGCTTTTAGTTCTATAGTTTTTAGCTTATAGTTCTCAATTTCTAGTTGGTAATTTCTAGCTTATAGTTTGTTGTTGTATCCGTTGACCGATTAACGTATTAACTAATCATAAGTATACCATACGTATAATCTATAGTGTACCATATTTAAACCGACATGAACATGTACACATCTATATCAATATATCGTTATCTAAATACTCTCAACTATCTGCATATCTAAATATATAAATATTTTGTATATATCAGTTACGTTCAGTTTTGTGTCTGTTACGTTTCGTTACGTTATGTTATGTTAGATACGATTTCTTTGCCTTTCCAAATTTCAGACTCCCCAGTGCAGATGCTGATCACTAAATATGATATTTAACTGATATATACGTGTATAGTATACCGATATTTCTAATAGACATTCGATGGTTGCCTTCCACTCGTTTCCGTTTCCGTTTCCGTAAACGTATCATTTGTCTTGCCGTAGTGTAGCCTTAGCTGTACGCATATACATATACATCGATATATTGATATATATGTATGAAATTTCATTAATATGACTACTTACCTACTACAACTACTTATGACCGATAACGTATGTATATTGTATTGTACAGAGTACTTAGCTAGTTTCATGTTTAACTCTAATCAAACCAAAAATCAACAAAGCAATAATATTCTCTAAAAATAAATAATCTTCTGTATAGCTAGTTCCCACCGATCAAGTAGTCGTACTAACTTAACTAATACACACACTCTCACACACACACTATCTCTCTCTATCTCGCTCTGTATCTCTATCTCTCTCTTTCTTTCACTTACACACCGTCAGTTGCGAAAGTGCAGAGATGTAGGCAACGATTCCTAATCTCTGCTCTTTCTGTACTTCGGTTTTAGCCGAGGAACATGCCAATTTTTGGTTAACGCCTTTGTAATATTTTGCTAACTTTCGTGTGACACCCACACAAGCAAACACACTCACATAGACACTTCTAACTACTTATACATACATACATGTCTAAAACATTCCTTATTACATACTTATATATATAGTTTTCTTTGTCGTGCACTAAGCCCCAAGAGAAAGCGAAGAACCGCAAACATTTACTTACTCATGCTCACAGTCTTATGTATATCTTGTAGTTGTTTTAACGAATTAATAAAAAAAAAGGGGTCCAATCCACCTTGAAATCTGACGGGATTCAGATATACATACGTATCAGCCCCTGCGCCCCAAAAAGATCCAACCCCGACCATCCCCCAACCGATTCCCAAGCAGAAAATAACATTTAATTGCACTGTTATTAACGATTGATCTTTATATTTAAACGATCCGCATTCGGATCGCAATGCAGGCGTGGTCCTGTTCTCGTCGGCGGTTTATTTCGCGGAGGCTGGCAGCGACAGTTCCTTTTTCAAGTCGATACCGGACGGCTTCTGGTGGGCTGTGGTGACCATGACGACGGTGGGATATGGTGATATGAGGTACAGCCCACGTTTCAGCTCCACACTGGTGTGGTCCCGGCACTAGCTACTCTCGGTCCCGCCTTCTATATCTACACTTAACTCTCTCTCTATTTCTTAATCTCTGTCTGTCTCTCTTCTTTGTCTGAGTGTTTGTAACTGAGTGTTGTACTGTCTCTCCCATATCTCAACTATATGTCTTTCTAACGCTTTATGTGTGTCATTGATGTTTGTTGCTTTCGCCAATCTTAATGCTAATGTAAATAAGTCGGGCAAAACGGTGGTTCCATTCCCATACGTTCCGTGCTCCGGCTGTGCCCGGTGTACAGTTGTGTCCGTCCAAAATACGGTCTGTGTAAAAAAGAACGATGTGAATATACATATGCCATAGATGTGATGTGATGTTGTGGTGATCGCTCGCTTTTATGGACCTTAAGCTCCTACTCCTTACCCCCCACCCTCCCTGTGTTTTTTGTCTCATTTTTATTTTGATTTTCTTATGTGTTTCTTCCGTGGCATGATCAGTTCTCCGTTTTACATCGCTGTCCATTTCCCATTCCCTTTTACGTTTCCATCTGTTTTGCGTTATGTTTGTCCTTAGTATGTACCTACATCCCCCCACTCCGCATCCCACAAGACCCGTATAAATAAAATAAAGGAATGGAGTCTAATTTCGTTTTTAAGACATTCGATCTATGGTCCACTATCGCCGTTTGCTCGACCCCCAAAAGTATCACCATATTTCTGGGCCCATAGCAGTAATGCAAACAGCGCGAGGCTCACCAGAAACCGATATCCTCCATTGATCCTCCTCTCTGTCCCTACCCTACTTGTGTTTTAGAAAAGCGAGCCCACGAGGTAAGCCTGATTTTCTGCTTGGGAATGCCGCCGGATTGTAGTCAAGTCAATCGAGAAAAACTCACGTGAATATATCAAAATTCTTTTTAGTTGAACCGAAATATAAAATCTAAACACTGAAACTGAAACATAAACATAAACCAATGCCGCCGTACCTGGGCTGCGAAATGTATTTTGGAACACGAATACCCCACCATCACATACGTACACCACCTTGACGAGCTTTCGACGCATCTAGACATAAAAGACTTACTTTGAAAAAAAACACTCTTTGGTTAAATGTTAATTTTGAAAAAAAAAAAAAAAAAAAAAAAGAATATAAAAATGAATAAATAACACCAACAAAAAATCATAAAAGAATATATTACCAATGCAAAGCAATGTTTCTCCCATCAATTTTTTTAGGCGTCGTACTCTTCTCATCGGCGGTTTATTTTGCGGAAGCTGGAAGCGAAAATTCCTTCTTCAAGTCCATACCCGATGCATTTTGGTGGGCGGTCGTTACCATGACCACCGTTGGATATGGTGACATGACGTATGCAAATCTATACAATTCTAACTTTTATGATTACGTTTACGATAACTCCAGTTTTGATTTTACGTTTGGTTTCCGTTATCGTTTCGTTTCGTTTCGTTCCCGCCTTGAGAGCGCCTCCTTTCTGGGCGCTCCATTCCTTCTCCGTTCCACCTCTGTATTCTCTTCTAATTTTCATTTTCAACTGTTTCCTTACTTGCGTTATATGTGATTATTAAAAGCCCGCCCCAAAAAGAAACGCTAACCCCACTAAAGCTATTTACCGAAATGT